CCACCAGACGTCATGTTCCATTCTGTGCCAACGCGTGTCCAAGTGCCACATTGAACACCCACCCCCCGCAGCCAGCCGTGCGTGAGGACGGTGTGGGGCACGGGTTCGTCCCACGCTCCTCCCCGGGAGCCGCCCGCGGCCGGGAGGCGGTGGCGTGGGGTCCCCTGCATGGTTGTTGTGCCCCCCTCCTCCGTAGGCTTCTCTCTCCCGCGTGTGTGTCCGCCCCGCTGCCATGTAGTCCGAAGTCGCTGCTTCTGCGTTCCCCAGCTGGCCTCTTGGCTGTCTCCCTCCCCCGGGCGTGTGGACGTGAGGGACCGTGGAGGGGACAAGGGAGCCGATCGGGGACCGACCTTCCCGGAAACTCCCGTCCCACTGGGCGGGCGGACCCTCCGGACAGCGTGGGCACCGTGGTGGGTGAGAGACCAGGTGTCCTGCATCCCTCTCTCCCTGTGGCCCCGCCCCGCCCGCTCGGCCCCTGGAGGGCACGCCCGACAGACCGGAGGGGTCAGCGTCTTGTGACTATACCTCATGCCTTAAGAAAATCGTCCTCCAGAAAGTGCAGGTCTGAGTGTGAGGTGTCCTACTGGATTTCAGACTCCACAGATCAGGGATTGCTTGTTGATCCCTAAAGTGTCCAGCAAGGCAAAGCAAGTCTAGTCGTTGCAACACAAAGCTTCCAAGCAGCAGCGAGACGCCCAAGCATAAAGACATAAGCCGCCCGTGGACCCGTATGTGTTCATGTTTGAAGCCAAAAAACGTCCGACCCTTTCCGCCGTGAACCTACCCGACTGAAGTGTTTCTCTTTGAAGCAACAGGAGAGGCCCTGGTGTCAGGGAGCCCCAAAGATCCCGGTGGCGGTGTCAAGTAAGCGGTGGGTGGCTAACTGCTCCCTTGGTGGTTCAAACCCACCCACCAGCTGCTCCACAGGGCTGCTCCTGTACCGATTCACAGCCTCGGGACCCCTGTATAGGTCACTATGACTCGGGTCTGATGTGGGGCGTGGGGGTAAGTGAGCCTAAAGAGAGGTGCGAATGCGGTGTGTTGTTCACCTCCAGTGCACACACCCTGCTGGTCATGGGACCCTAGGTCACAAGGCAACATAAACTTCCTGAATGATACACAGCATCCATTCAATGCCGATGTCAAGCCAAGCCTTTTCCCTCTGGGGCAAGGAATAAACGAATTAAGAAACACCTGGTGTGTTGAGGTTGGCATGGACTCTTTACAATGGGAATTCGAAACTTGGTTTTCATAGATGAGATTAATTTCCATTAAAAGGGGGGGGGGCAGGGAGGTTTGGTTTAACCTGATGAACTTACAGCCACAATGCTTTACTTTTTAGTATCCGTCGTTTTCCTTTTTTTCCCTTGTTTTCTGCTTTCCTTCCATCCTTGGACCCACTTTCTTCCTTGCCAATAGCTGTGCCAAGGCATCACCTTGGTAGTGAATATTTTTCTTTTCTTTTTTTTAATTACGTATGGACACTGTCGAATTCCCGAGCAAGAGGACTTGATCCCTGTTTTGGTCTGTGTGTGACCAGGTCAATGCACCACCCCAACCTACAGCAGCAAGTTGACTGAGAGAGCACCTCTGTGTCCAAGCCAATATGGCACCACTCTGTTTCTCCTCATGCCCTGCCCCAGCCTCATGGACTACCATCCTGACAGTCCTGGCCATTAGGAGAAGCAGTGAAACCTGGAGACCACTTTTCCTTATCTGCTTACCTGCCAAAAATATCTTCATCAGATGTACACGAAGCAACCAAGACGAACCCTTCTCTAAATCACTGTATCAGTAAAGCTCGGGTTCACTTGGGGGCGGACAAGCAAATAATCTACTCCTACAAACATTATTCTAACTCACAAGTTACCTGAAGGGGTTCAAGAATCATACTTTGAGGGACACCCCTGCAGGATGAGGACAGAGAAGCTATCAGCACCTGAGAAACAATGGTTCCGTTTTACATGTGGAGCCGCAGGGGCCAATTAAACAGAGCACTACCTGGTGAAATCGCCACGTCTTTACTGTTATGAATTGGTGGTGGGGAGGGGGGAGAGAATCGCATCCCTAAGCCGAATAATTAGCAACCCATTGCATTTTCAGGTTGTGCCTTATTGCCTGAGATTGATTTGTTTCATTTATTCGAATCATCTTTACTGGTATCGATTTTCATGTAGATGGTAGTCACATCTTAGAAGCCTATGTACTTGGACAAGTAAATAAACAACTCCACACTGAGATACGAGGACCGCAG